CCTGCTTTGCCCAGAACTACATGAATGTTTAAGAAGTCACCTCATTTTCCTGCTAGGCTGTACCTAGTTCATACATTAAAGCACAGCTCTGTGTTTTTTGAGAATAACTGAGAAGGCAGAAGCCCAAGCAGTCACTATCTATGCAATCACTATGGGGAAGAAGAGCAATGATTTCAGGGAAAGGAACTGCCCTTGGAAAGACCTTTGACATTACACTTTGCTTTGTCTAAGCTGCAAGAAGTTACAGATAACCTTTTTTCCATGCAAAAGACCAAGGGCCACAACATGGCATGCCCCCAGGAGAGGTCACATTTCCTATTTCTAGTATCCAAAGCAAGGTGCAACATCCATATATTCAGAAGTGCAGAGGGACCACAGTTTGATTTTGTTCTACATCCTCTATCCACTCCACAGCCAAGAAAAGACAGTAAAACCCCATTTTAAAACACTATGTATTTTAACACTACTAAAGTCAGGCTCTGTTTTCAGCTTGAAGGGCAGCCTGGTTCCTTTCTCAAAGTGGAAATGGGACTTGCACGATGCTATCAAACACATAATCTGAATTAAGGTGAGAAGTTTTCAACACTGACTGCTGCACTGCCACACATCTCCCCTGCTCAGGCAAAGCTTATGTCAGCCACTTCTGTCCATGATGCTCCTCCTGCCCTGCTCCCTCAGCTGTTGCCAGAATAATTCAGAAATGATGCTTTCAAGGGCAACGCCTCATAGGCTTGGAGCTCAGTTACAGATCTGGTCAACTCTCACCTTCTGTCTGGGCCAAAATCATCTGAAGGCAGATTAGGCTCGGTCCCTAAACTCTCCTCAAAACTGCAGCAGCTCAGGCTGGCTTGTGAAGCCTAGTTCATTTGCACAGAAGTACTAAGTCAAAAAGTGCTAAGAATAAAAAAAGAAAAAAGGTGTTGGAGCAACCAAGTTCGCCAAGCTGATCTAGGCATATGCAAGAGACTGGGACTATGGGCAGCACATTTCCATGTTGCCTCTAGAAAGGCATCACCCTGTGCAGAAAGGCATAATGAAGCACTATTTTTTCAG